AGATTCAAGGATTATATACAAATCTGAAACTTGTTAACAGGTGTTTTGCTATAATAAATCATTTAGCTTTAGTATAATATTATGTTATATATTATATTATTGTTGTTCAGAATTGAATTAATAAACATGCTAATAGTAGTTTGATTAGAGAAATATATATATATATATATATATATATTTTATTATAAGAAATTTTTAAAACAATATATTTTTTTTTTGATTTAAATTTTAAAAAATTTTTATTTTTTTAAATATCTTTTCAATATAATATTTGTAATATTAAAAATCTTTTATAATCAATTTTGTATTTTTTTATTTTCATTTTTTTTTAATTTTTTAATTTAATTTAATTTAATTTTATTAATAATATAAATAAAAAAATATTTTTTTTCAAACACTTTAAAATTTTTAATAATTCTTATTTTTATTATCAACCAATTATTGAAAAAATATAAAATTTTATATATTATTATCATTAGCAATATTTATAATATCTTTTAATATTACAAATTTCTTATATCTTTTATAAATTAATTTTAACAATAACAAAAATATATTTATACAATACAACTATTTTTCAGTTTAATATAATTAATTTTTTTCTATTTTATATTTTATCAAATATATAAAATAATCTATTTTTTTTTATATATAATTTATCAAAATAAATAAATAAAATAACCTGACTAATTATTATAATCTATTTAAAAAGAGCAAAATTGTTTTCAGATCAAACTTTTCTTTTTTTTTTACAAACTCATATTTTTCAAAAATTTATTATTATCAATTATTTAAATTCAATTTAAAATTTATAACTTCTTTCTTAAAATACTTTTTAATATATTATTAATCAAATTATATTTGTAAAATATATTTGAATTTTTAGTTAAGCCTTTTATTAATATTTTTCAAGATTGTAATATACTTTTACATACGATAAGCTTTATGAAATATAAAAAAAAATAATGAATTGATTAAATTATTTTTATAATTTGCTTAAAATTCAAATTTTAATTAAATATTTATAGAATATTTTTTAAAAAAAAATTTGTACATAAAAAAATTATTTCAAAAACAAACTGAATTGGTTATGATTTTGAAAGAGAATTGAATTTAACATTTAAATTAATTTAATTGATGGTATACTTGTAGAGTTGCTGCTGTTATTAAAGCAAATGACTATCTGATTCGTTATTAATAGATAACTAATAAATTGTGTTACGTCAATTTGTATTACCCAGTGAACATGCAAATCGGACATTACTTTATGCAGGTACTGTATGGATTATTTCATTGTTTTAAAACAATGAAATTCCTTAATAGTCAACGTAATCCTATATAGATTTTTGTTGATTTTTTTAGAGAACGAATTATTAAATGATCATGCGAAGCAATCATGTGAATTTACAAAATCAAATCAATAAAATATAATTTAATTAAAATTTTACGATTCCATCAAATAACCTATTTAAGGGTTGATATACAGTAAATGGAAATAACATTGACTGACATCAAATTAAACTGAGTATGGTTAAAAAGACGCAGTAACGATTTCAACTTAATTCTTATGTAACTCCAACGCGAAATAAATTTCATCTGTTTTTTAAGAAAGCTCCCACAACCAGTTTTCATAAAAGACCGAGTAAAAACGACGAAAATTATCGATACCTGACATATTTAATGCATTTATAATACATATGGAAGTTTTAATATGATTTGCATACTGTAATTGCTATCATTCTGGCTAACTCGGAATCAATACTCGTGTAACAGTAAGGTAAGTTTACTTTTCCTCTACTCGAGGCGCTGTACTATTTGCCCAGAACCTACAAATTTCCTTTTTTACTTGTCCTTTACAGGATTTGCAGTACAAGCGAGTTTCCAATTAAGGTAAGTTTATCAATTGTCCTTACGCAAATACCGTTTATCACTTATGTACCAGATTATATACTGTAATTCTCGCTAATTTGCTCTGTTATATGTGTCAAACCAATTTAACGTCGCGTCTTGCAAAATCAAAACTATTAAAACCTTATCCACCATTTGTGCATCAGGTATAACCGCACCGTGCTCCAACCCTCCACAATATTTCTTTTATAAAAGTTAAATGTATAATATACTCGAGGGAAAAGTAAAAATTCATTTTACTATCCTATTTTGTTTAAAGCTATCTGACTCTAATTAATTACGTCTTAAATGTCAAATACACATATTAATATAAAAAGCTATAACATTAACAATGCGATTTAATTATTTAATTGAATCGCGAGTGTAAAAAACTCAAAATAAAAATAAAATAAACATTTAGGTTACCTGACTGCACCTTTCAATATACCTTTCATATTACGCAGACCTTGAATAAAGCAAGAAAGAAAAATTACCATGGGAGCATTAAGCGAAACGATGCGATACGAAATTAATTTATCGTTGTAACAGGACGACTTTAGCCACGTGACCGATTGTTGCGACGGGACCGCGAGAACCTGTTTCTGGTTGGCGGTGCACGAGTATCTAAATATAATGGAGGAGGAGGAAGGTTTGTGAAAAAGAATTATGTAATACAATCGCTATTATTCTCTAGTACCATAGCCACCCTTAATGATGTAATTAATTAAAGTATAAAAATAAAAAATTTCATGTTAATAAAGAATAATCAATAAAAAAATTTATCCTCGGTCAAATAAACACGCCTCACACCTTTACCTTGATCAACGGTCGCAACAGGTCAGTTACACTGTACAGCAATTTTAGGTATTATGAAAAATCAGATCTTAAGATATTTCGAGATCGTACAACCGACTTACCCAAAAATACGTTAGACATTTAAATTTTGGAGAAAATAAAAGGCGACCTATATTCTGAAGTTTTAGGAAGAAAAAAGTATAAGTATCTCCAAAAATAAGTTCGATCATAATATCTCAAATACCTTGCGATAGTTCTCTAGGTTCATCCTCGTTTTCTCATAAAAATCGAATAACCAAATTCATCGTCATAAGAAGATTAAAAAATCTTAGAAAACAAGTCTATCTCTCTTGAACAAGTTTTTATTAGGTTTTTTTTTCAGAAATTATTTCCCTTAAAGAAAAAATTCTATCCTTTGATCTCTTCAATCTCAAGTATCTCCGTAAATGATTCATTTAGATCAATGAGTTTTCTTTTAATTTTTGTTTTTTCTTCATCCTAATTGTAAATAAAGAGAATTTATTGTACAGTATTTATTCTATTAGGTCTTCTATCGTGCACTATTTTCTATGTATTTATTAATTTCTTTCGAAAGCAGCTTAGATCTATGCAGCAGTATATTATTTTAATGCACTTTTCTTGACCTTAATATTATTAGGAATCCTACTTATTGATTTTTTTCTTTCCTTTTTACTTTCGACCTTCTTTGGGTAATTCTTTTCGAAGGCGGACAGGGATTTTTCGGTTACTATAATTGTGATCCTAAAATTTACATTGTATATGTATTGTTTAAAAGTAGGGACCGAAAAATCATATCTCGCATTTTTGCTGCCTTCAAAAACAATTACCCATATATGGGTAATTATTTTCGAAGGCAAACCGGAAATTTTCTGGTACTACAATTGTGATCATTATGTGTATTGTTTAAAAGTAGGGTCTGAAAAAATCATATCTAGCATTTTTGTCGTCTTCAAAAATAATTACCCATGTAAATATTATATACGTAGCAGAGTTTAAATTGTCGCAGATAGGGCATCACTTGTGCAGATTGTTTTCAAGTGGAATTTCCGTACTGTAATAATTTATATTTTTTAAATAAAATTTCGGAAAAGCACACCTGCACAAGTGTACTGCATGATTGTTAATTTACTCCGCAGAAATTTGGTGTAACCGTTAGAAGACTATGGTTTGGTGTAACAGAGAACTTATTGATCGGTTGATTATTAAATTATTTTTTTAATATTAATAGAATTATATGATTTTTTTTTTGATATTTTATTTTTTTTAAATTCAAATATTAAAAAGGTCAATAAATCAAATAGTTATTTAAATAAAAATAATATAAAAAAACTTTATAACTCTTATAAGTTATAAATTAAATATATATATATATATATTATAAATGGTCATTATTTTATTATTTTTTATAAATATTTTTTTAAATAATAATAATGTAAGATAATCAATCATCAGTGTTGTCAAAATGATGCTCCATTGGTAATTGTCACATCCTTTTATTATATTATTCATCATATGATATGATTTATATCATATAGTAAATAATATGACAATTACCAATGGAGCATCGTTTTAACAACACTGCAAATCATATACAGTATTGTCGTGGACTCATCCTGCGATTCTGTTGCCAGCTAAAGCAAAGGAAAAGGTGCAAAAGACGTGGAATGAAATTGACTTTTAAGTATCAGACTCAATTTATTATTATTTTTTGTGACGTTTTTTTTTTTTTTTTTACACACGCGCATATACACTTTTCATCAAATTTACTAGAAAGAAGAAAAAAAAGAACACAAAGAAAGGTAAGAAAATTTATCATTATAATATTGGCAATGTTCTAATTTATTCTTTTCCCATTAAATTTTATAACGCTATTTCATCGAAATACTGTATGTATAATTATAAGTTAAAAGTTTAAATAACATATAAACATATGTATATTTAATAATAGTTCTACAGTAAAGTTTTAGATTCTAAATTTCTTGTGTACACACCACATGAAGTAAATATTCAAAAATTATATCAAAAAAACCCTTCGAAAAAGGTCTATATACGAAGGCATGCGGGAAGTGTCACAAAGGCAAGAAAAGATGTAATGGTTGTATTGATAAACAATATCAATTCCCTAAGCTTTTAATCAAGAACGACTCAAAATTAAAGGAAAGAAAGAAAGGTATCTAAGGTTAAGAAAATGCGATACCGAAAGAAATTTCATAAAATATATAGAACATAAAACATGGTAGAAAAATTATACATGATTTTCTTGCTGAATAAAAACATAAATATAGAAAGATGTTCATTTATTTGGAGGGAAAACTAAACGGAGAAGCTTGAGCTTGAAGAGACCGAAGGATAGAGTTCTCTCTTTTAAGTGAAGTAATATCCGAAGAAAGAAGACAATAATCGCGTTCAAGAGAAATAGCCTTTTTTCTAAGATCCGCAACCTTCTTCCTGTAACGATGGATTCGGCTTATTCGATTTTTACGAGAAAACGAGGATAGACCTAAAGAATTTTTGCAAGACATTTGAAATTTTATGGTCGAATTTAATTTTTGGGAAATAGTACTTATGAGTTACTCGTAACAGAGATAGTAAAGCAGGTGTTTATAAGACATAATCAGGAATCTTTTTTGGTACGATGAATGAGTGAACTGACAAAACCGGTGGCTGTATATCATCTCAACACATCTTAAGATATTGATTTGATTTACCATAAATGAAATGAAGTAGTCTAGATATTTATTTGTCCTGAGTTTTTATTCGATTAAATCACGTTAATATGCAACAGATAGCGGTACTTTTATATATTAAAAATAACTGATAGCGGTACTTTTATATATTAAAAATAACTGATAGCGGTACTTTTATATATTAAAAATAACTGATAGCGGTACTTTTATATATTAAAAATAACTGATAGCGGTACTTTTATATATTAAAAATAACTGATAGCGGTACTTTTATATATTAAAAATAACTGATAGCGGTACTT